AAAAAAAAATCAAAAAAAGAGTACAACAAAGAATAACATGTTGCATAAATTGTAAAATTCTAACGAATATTTATTTATTTGCTTATTTGTTAATAGAGAATTAAAAATGTTTATGCATTAGAATAACTTTCTTAACTTTTAATATTAGTTTCTTTTGATTTTGGGGTGACAGTCTTAATGAGATTATTTAAAAACAAACTCTAACCTTTAAATAAATCTTAAACCTTTAAATTCACTATAACTATTTAAGCGGTGTAAAACTCCGGGCCCCAACCATTATCAAAGTACAGCAGTGACACTGCAACCATGCATGAAAGCATGAAAAGTTAATAAGTTTAGTATGTTATGTACAATTTAAAACTCATTTACTCTTTCAGATTCTCTCTTTCTGTGTTTTGGGGACTCCACTGATGGACATGCAGGAGTTCAGCGGATGGAGCGAGGAGTGTTTTTCTCAGGGATGAGGATATGCGGTACGATGTGTTGCCGTGGGAACCCAGCAGGAGACGTGTGTGTAGGACAGCTGTGCGTCCCAGACATCAAATACAATAAATAAATAACAGATAGACAGCCCTCCTACTCACCACTCGCAGTTCTGCTAGACTTCATGAAGACACAAATGGTTCTAACACCATATTTAAATAGCAGAACCCTGGACTTTAGGTTCCATGAAGAACCATTTCAGCTTCTTTAGGTTGATATGGTTCTAAATTAAGCAATTACGAACTGTTTCTCTTGTTTTCTCTTTTAGAGTTCTAAAATGCAGCCCGAAAGTACTGCGTCAAACTCTAACACACATCCCATGATTTAAGAGGTCAGTACAAATGACATTTCTAAACTTCTAAATGAGTGGTTTTATAGCAACAGTGAGTAGTAATATACAGCTGGTTTACACATCACTCTTCAAAATAAAAGTTCTTCGGAGGTCCTTTTTGAAACATTTTAGACTGAACAAAGAATCCTCTTCTGGGGCCAGATTCAGGAAAAGTATTTAAGAATGAAATTCTTTCAGCATAACACGTAATATATAATACAAGGTATGTGCAGACCAGTGATCTTTAACGTACACTGATTGGTTCTTATACTTTTTGTTACAATACAGTGTTTCATTTTCTGCTTAGCACATTGTTTTTGAGATTTTGGCCTATTAGCTTTTCATAATGTGTTATTTCAGACTAGTGGAAAGCAAACATCCAGAATACACTTTTGTGTATACGCCAATGTTTATTTTATTGCACCTTTTTAGTTTTCAATTACAATTCATATTTTGAAAGGCAGTTTTCTCAATTTTCTTCTCCTCTTCAGCAGCACTTACATGCACCACTTTACAAACTTTACAGTTTTGCTGTATTTTGAAGGTTTTTACTGAGGGTTTTGTTTTGGTTTTATACATTTATTCCTAAAATCATGGTTAAAGTGGGTTTGTTTTCTGTCTGTTGACCGTATTTTCTGACTCATGAAGTGAAATATGTCAACAAAATGAAACAAGAATTTTGAACCTGGGTTTACCCAATGATCAGATTTTGTTCTGAAAATGTATGCATTACAATGCATATTTATTTCGATAATGCATCATTTGCATATTGCATATTTCTTTCCAGAAAACTTGTAATACAAAAAAAGTTAGCCATTTTTATGTAATCAATCAACTAAGTATGGTGGTATCTCTGATTAACCTTAAGAAAAAAAAGATTTTTTCAAGAATTGGGCATTTTTACAAACTGTATGAAATGTTTTAACTTCTTTCTCAAGAAGATGTTTGTAAACCGACCCCTGATCGACAACCAGTTCCAGTTCTTGATGTCATATGACAGGTTCTTCAGACCTTGAACATTGCATTGGAACTTGAAATCATGGAACTTAAAATGTTCCCAAATGGCATCCACTCTTGCCATTGCATTATATATCACACCAAAATGCATCTGCAAAAAAAGCGTGTCTGCGTGCCGGGTCAGGAGGGACAGCATCTGCTCGCGAAACACCAACACCACCTAAAGCACTCCGCCCAGCGCTCCCAAACCTCCCGTCCAAACGGTTGAGCGGAGAGCTAGGACACAGGTGTGGGTGTGTTTGGCATGTGCTGGAGGCGTGATGCAGGTGCACATGTGCCAATTTGGGGCCGTCTAAGCTGGAGGTGGACGCAGGTGTGTGGCGAGCAGATAATAGGGGCTTGAGGGGATGCAGGGGGCGTTTTGCGTCATGTGAGCATGGTGTTCTTTAGACAAAATGAAACGTCCTAATCAGGTGCATGATGGGCAGGAGGCTTGTGCGATATCATGACCCACTTGGACGTGTAATGCAATGCCTTCATTAAGGGCAGGTGAGACGGTAATGAGGCCTGCAATTATGTCGACACCCGGCATCCTAAACGCATAATGACGATTTCATTCAGACGGAAGGAAAATATTTTGGTGTTATATTTGATGTTATGCAGTTAATTGTTGGTAAACACTCTTGTATTGTCTCTCATGCAGAATCAACAGATTAAAATGTCACAAAAGGTACCGTGCAACGTGCAAAACACAAAATGAAGTCTACGATTTGAAGCAGGTAATGCAATCATTCACAGCCTGATGATGCATCGGAAAATCTTCATGCAATTCACTTTTAAAATAATGTATGTGTCATTACATATGCCATTTAATTTTCACTTTAACTGCATGTGTGTGCTAAAAGTAAAAGTATTTACTTGTATTCCACTTAAAAATATATCAATTGCATTGCATTAGAATATCAACAATGCGGAATACATCTGCAAAGTAGATATTTGGTTTGATATTTTGTTTTATAAAGCAATGTCTTTCATGCATTTTTGCTTTTATTGTTTCCACTGTATATGAAATTACTTTTCTGATAATTCTGATTAGATACTGAAGCATTTAGACCAGTTTGTTGTCAGTAAATATACTGTTTTATTTGCAGAATCAACAGGTTGAAATTAAATGTAACAGTATAACATGAAAAACACCAATTAAGTCTAATATTGAAGCAGGTGCTAATCATTCATAGCTTGATGAGGCTAAGGGAAAATATGAGAAGTATTTGTCTATGTATCAAATATATTTCATTTTCACTTTAATTGCATGTCAGATGCTAAAAGTGAATATATTTAGCTTCTAAAATTATTTGACACTTGAGTTACACTTAAAAATTTATAGATGTCTTTGCACTTTGCATTGTGATTTCTTTAAACATAATTCTGATTGGATCCTGAATTTTTTACACCCAGCAAGTGCGAGTGTATTGTCAGTAAATACACATTCATTTTCTGTTTATCTTGCAGAATCAACTGGTTGAAATTATCTGTAAGGCACCAAGTAACATGAAAAAATCAAAAATGCCATTAAATTGCCAATAAAAACATAACGCTAGGTGTTTCCTCTGAATATTTAGTTTTTTTTATGCATTGACATTTATTGTGACTTAAATGTCTTTTTATATAGTATGTGATATTCTTATCCATAATTCTGAAAAAAATGAGAATCAAATATATATATTATTTTTTTAATGCAATGCCATTTATGATGGCTTAAATGTGTTTTTATATTCTGTGTGTGATTGTTATACATAAATCTGATTGGATATTGAATTTTTTTTTTACACCAAACATGATCAGAATGTGGAAGTTTATTGTCAGTAAATACTGTATTTTATTTTCTATTTGTCTTGCAGAATCAGCAGATGAGACAGAAACGAAAGGCACCATGTAAATTTTTGACGATCTGCAGTGCCTTTATGGCGTCTGAGACACAGGAGTAATTGTGTCCTCTGTTGGAGATGGATTTGCATGCTTTAACTTATGCAGCGTGACTCGCCTCGCTCTCGTACACAAACTCTGACACACACACGCGCTTGCATTGACTGTTAAACGCTGCTGAGTTCTCACCTACTCGCTCTCAACCCCCCTCTGTTCCACTCGCACGCTCTTAACAATTGAAACAGACCACATCTATTTCCTCCTTTTCAAGCAAATGTGGACAGGTGGTTTCATAGACCGGCCCGAATGCCAGATAACCTGTGCAGAAAGAAGCCAGAATTACATTTGTTAGAACATGTGACCTAAACGGCCCAATGGTGCTTGGATGCTTTTTCCCCCCCCCCCAATTGTGGGGAACGGTTAAACTTGTCTGACTGAGGGAGAAGCTTTCTGTGGGCCGCCACAACCACAAACCAAGTCTGCGACCGGTCACGGCTCTCTAGGCACTAGAAAACAGCGAGATAAAGATAGACGAGAGGGACTCGAGAGGGGGAGGGAGAAAACGTGTTGATGTCAGCGTGTGAATCAGCCAAATCGCCGAAATAAACCACAGTGCCGCGTTTGCGCTCCGGCTCTTTTGCACAAGGGTAAGCATCAGTCAACCACAGGCTGACCGCCGATCGCAATCTGTCTGTGAACCATGCACAGAATCCAAGGACAGAACCGCCTCGCTGGACCGGCGCAGGGCGACCATGGGTTTCAGGGTGTGTTTTTGGGGTCCGGTTTAGGGGCTGGAACGTGGAGGGCGTTTGAGCGAAGCCTCTGGCATGTCATCATGGGCGTATTGTTTTGCTCTTTGCAGGGCCAAGCCGGGAGCCCTTCAAAATTCGGGAGCAAATCAAGTTGGAAGAGCTGGATTCGGACGAAGACGAGGAGAAGCAGCCGCCGCCGCCGCCGTCACTCGCCATGGCCTCCAACAGCATCTTCGAAAGCTTCTCGTCCTACCAGTCATGCTTCTCCAGGGGTGAGTATCCGAAGCAATTGTCTGCCTTTTCGTGCAACCCAGCTCTCATCTCCAGCCAACGCGCATCAATGTGGTGTTTGAGCAAAGTGACGACACCGAGGTTCTGGTTTGCAGTGTCAGTGGAGTACTGAAATCTTGTGGCTGAATCTGAAAACCACAGGTCTGTGGGTTAGTTAGTACTTCACTAGTTAACCTCATTCAACCAGCCGATGCATGGTGGACTCCAACATGCCGTTTTGGACGTTTGCTTATTGACAAAGCTACAGAAAGGAAGCTACTACTTTTTAAGTTCTTGTGCCAAAATTTGAGTTTTATAGTTTGTTGCACAGCTCACACAGTGAAATGAACCTGTTGCATACTAGATTTTAATAGCCTTTTTGGATGTGTCCTTATTGAAAAAAGCTAGAGAAAGGAAACCACATGCATTTTATCACATGCAATGTCAGTTTGAAAACTTTTTTCGGTTCTTGCATTGTGCCAAACTTTGGGTTTTATAGTTGCACATTGAAATGAACCTGTTGCTTAACCTGCATAATAAGGCTTTAATAGTTTAAGAGGTCGTATTGAATGACTTCTTGGATGTTTCCTTTTTGAAAAAGCTAGCAACGAAACTGCATGAGAGTTTGTTGGGGTTTTTATGGGAGTCTTGCACAGTGAAACTAACCTGTTGCCTAACTTTCAGAATCACTTCAATAGTTTAAAGGTCATATTGAATGTTTTTGTGGATGTTTACTTATTGAAAGGGCTAGAGAAAGGAAACTGCATGAGAGTTTTGTTGCATGCATTTATGAGTTTGAAAACTTCTTTGAAAAGTTCTTGTATTGTGCCAAACTTTGAGTTTTCTTTGAGTTTTTTTTTTCTTTCTTTTATGGCAAGTAGTGCAGTGTGAAACTAACAGCTATGCTGTTGCAAAATGTTTATATTATCACTTGAATAGTTCAAGAGGTCAAATTAAATTATGAAACCTATAATAAAATAGTGTTAACAAATTTAGAAACTGACTTACTGGACGTTTTACATGGTCCTGTAATAACTCAAGACATTACATAATTTATTTAATGTAAAATAAAAACAATAGTATAATAAAAGAATTAGTGTTAACAAATTTAGCGCTTCTTCATTCTATGATAAAGAAGTCAACTCTTGACCTAAATCTCAGTTCTGTTTTTTTTTTTGTATTATTATTATTATTATTATGACACAGATAGAGAGAAAATGCTT